AATGATTGTCGATGAAGTGATTGTCGACGAAGTGATTGTCGACGAAACAATTTTCGACGAAATGGGTGTCGACGAAGTGATTGTCGACGAAACAATTTTCGACGAAGTAAACGGGACCGATAAAAAAAAAATTTATAGGGATGTGAATGATCCTCACTGTCATCTTTAGATGAAGATGTTGGACCATGCAGAAATACTTGAGATATTTTGGCAGAAGAAAATGAAACACAAATCATTAATTCAGATAAAGCCCTCAAATAAAACTCTCTTCTTACAAAGCGAAACTTCACATCCCATTATTAAATTTGAAACGTGTTATAAGTTTTCATGGTATATAATAATGCTAAAAATAAAGTTTATAGATGATATGATCTTTGAAAAAGATTATTGATGTGCATATATATACACATAAAGATTAGAGAGTGAGCGGGTTTTAGAATTAAAAATGTCTTGATTGAGCAAATGAACCCTTCTTTCTGCCAAAACCCGGGTTCAAATATTATATAATGTGCAAAACGATTTTCAGGTTCGATTGTGAGAAAAATATCTAGATTAAAATATTTCTTTTTAACCATTCGGTTCATTAGATCTTTATTATTTTACCGGATTCAGTCTCTATCAAACTTAAAATTATTCTCGTAACATGAATCATACAGCTGAATTGTCGACAATCAAAGGAAATGTCATGCAGCAAACATATTTTCAGAGAAATTTTACATTGAATTTTATAAGTTTTATTGGTTCGGTTAGTTCGTTTCCAAAGACCAGTTTTTTAATGTCGTCTCGAAGCCGGCAAAAAATGATCGTGTTTTTCATATATCATTTATTCACTTTTTTAAAATTGAAATAGAATTAATTTCAAATTAGAAACCAATTTTGAATTTCGAATAAATTTCATCATCATGTAAGAGCCTTTATTAAAATGGCACCATATTAATATCACATTTGGAGACCTGGCAAATACAGATTCCAAGTTGTATAGATTTATTATTATTGTCATAGTTTAAAAAATTCAAAATGTTATTTTTTTATTTTATTAATATTAATATTATTTTAATCTGTATTGGTTATTTTATATAGTACCATGGTCGACTAAAACTACAAAATTGACCAAGTCGACGAGTACAATAATAGACTTAGTCGAGGAAGCAGTTATCTAATATTAATGTAGCATTACGTATATAAAGAATTTGAATTAACTTTTCTCGAATAAAAGAAAATAATTAAACTATACCAAAACTATTCGCTAGGAATATTTTATTCGATTTTATTTCCATCGATTAAATTCGCCTTTCTACCAAAGATGTTAATTCGTGACAATATTACACCAGTCAGTCAGAACTCCAGGTTAATTCATACATGTCATGAGTTGGAAATTTAACATAGTAAACTAATGTCCACGCCGTATATTTATACTAGGATTTGATTACAAAGCTGATTTAAAATGTTGACCGATTTTTTTTATTGGTAAAGTTTTCTCATAAAGATTTAATAGTAAACTAGTATACGATCTAGAATTAGAGTTAAAGAGGATCAGAACATCAAAAACTTACTCTGCAATTTTAAAAGCTAGATCTTTATAGGTAAAGTTCTGATGATATTATTTTATAGAAAAAAAAATTTTTTTTCTCTCATCACCGACATCAAAAGAAAATTATTGAATTTACGAATAAATTTTTTAAATTTCTAATTGGAGATATAAAATTGCCTTATGATTTTAATTTAATTCTTCAAAAGACTTGTGGTGATTTTTTTAGATCAGTTTTGAGAATTTTATGGATAAATGCAATTTGAGCCTTTACGAAATAAAAAAAATAAAAGAAACCGATGAATTAGCAAGTAGCTATAATCCAGTCCCCAGTTGAACATTATGAACTGAAACAAATAAAGCTTTGATTTTCAAGCATTAAAAAATCTAGCAATGTAATTAAAATGTTATGTTAATGCACAATTTCATGAAATTTTGGTTTAGACCGATATGACTGAACCTTATTGTGATTATTTATTTATAATATGCTTACAAGAATAATTTATACTAGCAAATTAGATATAATATATAATATAGAAGGCATAAATCAATATTATACAATGTATATAGATAGTATAAATGTAATAATATTATAAATCATAATTGTGTATATCAAAATTAATTAGCCTACGACTTCAGTATTACTATTTCTATTGATATATTTATTATCATTTGGAGTAATATAAATATTACTATGAGATTGATCATTAACAATACTATTGATCAATTCATCATTTCTAATCTTTCTTCTATATAAAACAAAAGCAAGAATGCCAATGAAAATGATAAAGATTACACCACCTATAACAGATCCAACAGTTATAACTATATTAGTTTTGCTATCATCATTTGATGAGTTGGGTGGATTATCAGTGCTGGTGGTAACTTGAGTTATAGTGCTGGTGGTAACTGGAGTTGTAGCACTGGTGGTGTTAATTACAGCTGATAAAGGATCAAATGCATTCAACCATCTATAATTATATTTGTCACTAATATCCAATAACAAAATATTTGGATAAGGCTCATAATTACTTCCAAAAGCAGTAGTAATCCAACCTATTATTATTAATTAATTAATATAAATGATATTAGTAATATATTTATGTAAAATTTTAAAAATTAGTTATTACAAGTTACCAAATGAAATTATCATATAATTATTATACAAATTTGCAAAGAACCCTGCATGTAATTTATTAATTAGATTATTGGGATAAGTAGTAATATTTGTTGGAACTGTCCATTGAAAAGGGAATGTTGTTGTATCTAATATTGCTATTTTGTCTGATTGGAAAGTACCACCATACACAATTATCCGTCCATCAGGTGCTAAGTATACATATATTAAAAAATATATTTACTCAAATAATAATAATTAAAGAAAAATGATAATTGATTTTTACCTAATACTGAAAAATGGCCCTTACGCACTGAAGGCTTATCACCAATTGTTGTCTAATATAATAGAATATTTATTAATGCCTTTTGAATATATATTGTTATCAATGATCAAATACAACTTACACTCTTAGACCAAGAATTTTGATTAATATTATATATGTATATCTAAATATTTAAATTATTAGAAAATAATATTCTCATTTTAATAAATAATAAAATCAATAAATCAATAAATTATAATATTACAATGGTTATATCATCTCCAAAAGAAATTAACTTTTCATCTTTCAAAGCATAAATATTAAAATAATATAAGTTTGATAAAGGTGGACCACTATTACTTGGTGTTAAGGTTGTAAATATCAAATTTTTGGTATTGAATTTATATATACTTGGGTCATCTTCGTTCATTATATATGTATTTCCATAATTATCTTGTGTATACATTGTTGATCTAACTTTATTTAATTGTGATTGTCCATTGGGGGTTTCTGGAGTCCATGTATCAAATGAATTTGTGTTTATTGAATAAACTATGGCTCCATAACTTATAGTACTAGGTTCTACATTTCTAGATCCACCTATAACATAAAGTGTGTCATTATTAGCCCCTCCTAATGCTAGTGTTTCATTAGCAAGTGGAGGTATAGAAGACTTTGGAAAAATTTGTTTTATTGGCAATGTCTGATCAAGTGAAAATGATGTGGATAAATCTAGGTAAATTATTTGGTTTGTTTGATTTAATTTTAAAGAATATCCTCCAAAAGAATAGAGTTTATCATTCAATATAATTGAACGGTGATCTTGTATATCTAATAATTGGCCAAATACCAAATATGTGAAATTATCTAACAAAAATAAATTAAATATTATTGTTAATAATTTTAATGATTTTAAATGATGATTCATTAAGTCAACTAAGTCAACCATTTTTTAAAAAAATTAAAATTATGAAAAAAAGAAGATATTTGTTTGTCTCTGGATAAATTTAAAACAAAAACATTGTGCTCTGATTTACAACTATTATGTTTTCATGAACTCTATTTTTGGTGCTGACTTACTTAATAAAATTTATGTAAATATAAAACCTGCTATTGATTTTTTTTAAAACTTGATTATACTTTGCTACTGTTATTGTTATTGTTCATCATTATTAGCAGAAGCTATTTTTTGAGCAGGGTTTCCTTATTCATAAAACCCATAACAAATTTAATAAAGAAATGAATTTATTTTTTTAGGAGATCGCTGATCAGAAGGAACAAATTTGGAAAACGATTTCTTTAAAAATTAGCTTCTACTAATAATGATGACAAAGAATTTACTCGGTTCAAAGAACAGCTTCTTCTGCTAGTAACGACAAACGACAACAACAAAGTTCAAAGAGCAATTAATAATATCAATGTTATCATCAACAACAAAACCAAATTATTTATTCTTCCCCTAATACGACGAACGTCAATATTATCATCAACAAAAACGATTATTTATCCAGTTTCGAGGTGGTTTTCTCTAATACTTATGAACATCAACAACAACAAAATATTTATCTAGCTCCAATTGTTTCCTAATACTGATGAACATCATCATCGTCATCAGAATATTTGTCCAGAACCTTCCTTTCCTTCAATTACATCAATTTCCAAACCGACAACAGTAACTTGAACATAGAATTTGTTTAAAAACGTAGTCAATAGAGTGATAGAGAAATAGCAGAACGAAAATTATAAGAACTGGTCTTCTATAGAGGTTGGAACCTTAACCGGTTAATTAATATTACAATTGTAATAATAAATTATAATTTTGATAATGCCTCATGAATATATATTAACAAAAATGGTGCAGAACATCTATACTCATCAAAGGTTTACAAAAAAATAAACTGCGAAAATGATAGTAGGTTGAGACTTCCTCTTTCGACTTACGGTTTACTTTTTTTAGTCGCGTAAAGCCAGTTTTATAATCAATTTTTTAATTTAGGAACACCGATTCAGACCAAACCTATGTCGCGGGAAAGAAATAATCACGTCTTTGTTTAATTACATTTAAATCATTAATTATATTGTAAAATAAAATGCCACCAATTTCAAATCAAACAAGTGCAGAAGGTAAATATGAGCCAAAAAAGTCAAATGATAAAATTATTACAGTCCTAGCCAGATCTTTGGATATGGTGAAGAAGTAAATCTTGAAAATTACGATGAATTAAAATTTTTTGGCTCTGGTGACAGTAATTGGATGTCGATAATGCAAGTGGTTGCATCACGAAAATTTTTCTGGCGTGGATTTACATTACATTATATTTCTTATTTCAAATTTACATATAAATAATAACACTAAAAAAATCTTTTTTAGATTTCTTTACCTACTATTCTTTCCACTTTTCCATATGGATTTGAATCAATTTCTGAAGAGTCTGCTAGTGATGACGTGGAGCCGATTTCTGTTGATTTATTTAATAGAACAAATTCTCTTGGAACTGACGAAATTGGTACTAATGGCAATTTGAAAAGGTTTTATATTTCTACAGACCAAAAATTGGATAATGTACATTTGCCGAGTTAATAATAAAAAATTTGGGTTTTTTAATTACCCAAAAATTATTCGAACGAGGTTTTTTAATTATTACGCAAAATGCATAACGAAAGTTTACAAAATTACACGGCTTAGAAAATCTTATCACTTTTTAATGATTTTAATTGAAAAAAAAAAAACGAACACCACTGATTAAAATTTTTTACTTTTAATGATCCTTCTTGAGCTGCACACATGTTGGAAGAATTTGGACAAAACTTTTCCTCATCTTCCTCTCAGACCAGGATTGACTGTTACCAAACGGGCATTGATCACTGATAGCTGGTGTATGTGTGATGTTTGCTTTGTGTTATATCCCTCTAGTATAAAATTCTCCAATGCAGCCTGGGTTGCCGTCTTGTTGGTGGCATGCCTATTCATCAACAACCCTACCACATTTAAATATCAAGTTCAGTTGGTCAAATAACAAGTAAGAAAATTTGGGAACGATTAATTTATACATAACATACCAAACAAAATCTGAACCAGTTTATTTTACAGCTTTCTTACTAACATCAAAGCCCGAATACAATTTTAGGGTCACCAACCCTGCTCTGAATTGTGACCACCTGTTGAAATGAGTTGCAGATTCTCTTAATATTCCTCCAGAGTTGCGACTTGGTCACAGAGCCAGCCTTACCTAGAGGTAGGACCATTGCAAGACAACTTTCCATCTAACTTGTCTGCATCTCTGGTCTGGGTACTGTGAAGACTAATGAAAGTGTCATTAACAATTGATGCAATCTTGGGTAAACTATAGGGTATCTTTCCCTCTCCCTGAAATTCAGTTGCATTATTGTATTATCAGACGTGAGTCAGATTAGCCTTGTGTACATGAGTAATGTGTGAGAATTACTGTAATGTTTAAGGTAGCATGCATGCTTTAACATCTGTTAATTTCCTATAATCAAACATTACATATTCGAATGTTTCTTTTTCAATAGTCTGCTGCCTTGGCATTTTCTTGTAATTATATATTTAATATTAATGTTATTATTAATATTGATTACGAAAAGTAAAATATTATTATTATCAATGAAAATCTTGTAATTACCCAACAAGATCTGCTCCGCGTTTGATTTCTAATTAAAATATTTATAAGCTAAAATAAAAGACACCTCATACATATCAATACAAATAAAAAATAGCACCTCTGGTTAGTTATTAACACGTATTCTTTAGGAGACCCAAACCAAACCAAACAACAACACTCACGTTTTGTCACC